GGTTGACTGAAAATTTCAAATCGATATTTTAATTTCTAAAGGTCACTCATAATTATTTTAACTTTAAAAGTAGTGTACCTAAAATGTTTTCGAGCGACCTCTAAAAATAAATATCAACGAACTAATTATTTTTTTAATTGAATTTGATGAACAAAAGAATAGAAATAAATCGCGACACTTAAAAAAATTCTCCAGGCAAAATTTACTACCACTGTGAGTATGACTATATATTTTTTAATTTTTTAAAATTTAAGTGTCTCATGATTTATTTCTATTCTTTTGTTCGTCAAATTCAATAAAAAAAAAAAATTATTAGTTCGTTGATATTTATTTTTAGAGGTTTCGAAATTAGAGGTACACTACTTTGAAAGTTAAAATAATTATGAGTGGCCTTTAGAAATTAAAAAAATTAAAATATCAATTTGAAATTTTCAGAATTGAGATTTTTTTTCAACCTAGAAAATGATAAAATAACAAGAAAAAAAATTAAAAAAAAAATAAATTTTTGATTTTGGAATTTTTAAATCTTGAGCGACCTGTAAAAAAATTTTTTTAAGCTGATTTTTTGATCATAAACTAATATTTTTTTATTTTAAATTTTTTATTAAAAGTATTTACTATTTTTTGAAGCACTGTTTAGTTTGTAAATGTCAGTGTCAATAACCTCTAACACAGACCTATTTTAGGTGAACTACATAATATTAATACACCTGATGTGATATGACAACATGACGTTAGGCAGGCAAAAAACAAACGGTCGATTCAGAAAAGCGAAAATGGTCGAATGTCAGTGCTTCATTTTATTAAATTTACTTTAGTTTTCAGTTTATCTGTTTGTGACTTTCTGTGACGTATTAATCGACACTTGAATCGAAATAGAATTTGTATAATATATTGTTGTGATCTATTAAGTTTAATTTTATTGTTAAATTTAAAGTGGTATTTAGTGACAGTAGTGTGTTTGTGTGTCTTCATTGTTAAATTTCAGTCTGACATGAAAAAATATGTATGCGAGAGATGAGAGCTGACGACAAAGTTAAAAAAGCTCAGTTTTCACAACGGGACTTGAGAGAACAAACTCGTGACGTGTTTCTAAAGAACAAAGGTGGAGGCTGAGGACAAGAAATAAAACAGAATGGTAATATCTAGAATCCAGTATTTATTGGGCTGGAAAAATGTTCAACCACAACATAGCAGGCCAAACAGTAATGTATTAATACAATATATTTACAGAAACAGACATTTAGCTACCGCACATGCCCCTTCATGTGACACGTAGCTCTAACACTGGATTATAGTACGACTGTGTGTGCGCGCGGAGCCCCGAGAAAACGGTCTCTCGCCCCAAACACTATATTAAAAATTACACCGGTTATACAATCCATATCTGTGACACAGAAACAGGTACCTATAAAAATATATACATAATCAACTGAGAAATAAATTAATAATACAAACACAGTAAAACGCCCTGTCCACTTGTGAGGTGATGAACCGGACAAATAAACGCGTGGATTTGCTTTGTGGACGGCTCCTATTTACCTATTTCATTTTTTTTTAGTCTAAGATTATTGTGATGCTATTGTAGAAACGAAACTCTGTGTAATATAAACTAAGATAGATATATAATTGTACAGTTTAGGCCGAGTCGCACTGGATTCAATTTAAACGAGCGTTAAAACTGCCAAATCCAACAGTTACAGCCTAACTGGCCCTGAAATTAAATCATTGTTCACTTGAAAGTCATGAAACTTGGCCTTAAAACATTTACATGGTTCTGCGGGACTCAAATTTCGTAACGTTAATTTAGAATTTTAGAAAGGGCACAAAGTTTTTAAAAGAGAAAATTATTTGGAATTGATTTTTTTATCATTATTTGGACATATATAAAAACAAAAAATTATACTTAGAAATAATCCATAAAAGGATTATACCGGTTTTTCTGTATTAAAATTGTTACATTTTTAAAGAAATATGTACAGGGTGATAGATATATCTTGAAAACCACTGAATCTAATTGAATTCTGAAAATTATGTTATATTTTCAGAGGCTGTTATTCAAAGTGGGATTGAATTTTTTTTTCCCAGTGAAGTACCCATTTTTATGCCACTGAGAAAAGCGTAACACTAAATTTGTATAGCGTCGATAATGTTTGGAAATTGTCACATAAATTTGATTAATTCTGCAAAATAACTTTAGATCGGTTCATTTTAAAGAGAAAAGTTGAAATATACACTTCCGTGACTCCACCAGTTTTCTCATAAATAAACATCGATAATTTCAGGAAAGTAGTTTTTAATTTTTAATATCCTGAACAAAGTTGAAAATACTGGAAAAAAACATAAAAAAATTAATCTTATTAAAATTTCTTTTCAGCGGCATTGAAATAGGGGTATATTTGTGGGAAAAAAAAATACCAGAGCACAAAGGCAATGTGAATATACAGGGAATAACTTTAAGTAGGGCTAAATTTTTGAAAAGAAATAGTATGTGTTACTGAGAACGTTAAGAGGGCTTGTAGCAAATAGGCAACCAGCAATACATATTTATAGATTTTATTACAAAGTTTGTGTAAATATGAACTAATGCACAAATAACAGACATTCCTCCATTCTATCGCAGATTTTCTATAAAATTGAGTCAATTTGAAACTCAAATTACTTTTTGTTGTAAAGAAATTCGTAATTCGCCGCTTTTGAACAAGTGGCATCGTAAATTACAAATTTCTTTAAAACAAAAAGTAATTTGAGTTTCAAACAAAGTCCATTTTATAGAAAATCTGCGATAGAATGGAGGAAAGTCTGTTATTTGTGCATTAATTCAAATTTAGACAAATTGTGTAATAAAATCTATAAAAATGTATTGCTGGTTGCTTATTTGCTACAGAACCTTCTCAATTCCAAATTATTATTTTTTTAAATAAAATAAAAAGTTGAGTTATAACTCCTTCAACAGAAAATTATTTTGTCAGAATGCTTTTGTTAGACCAGTGACCAAATTTTTCCTGGATTACCTTCAGTACAACTCACATAATAAAAGTGTAGATCCCTAGATCTGGACGAGGTCCGGAACATTTTCAAAATTACAAAAATTTAAAAAAATACCTATTTTATGTGAGTTTTTTACTTATATCTTAGAACCTATACATTTTGGAAGAATATTGAAGAGAAAAAAAGTTTTAGAATTGAATTTTGCACAATTTTGCATTCTGAAAGTTAAAAATATTTAAATGTGCAAAATAGCAATGAGATGAAAAAAGGCAAAATAATCAAGGATTTTGGATAATTTTTTAAAAATATTTTAATTGCTCTGATAGCATTATAATTTTGGTAAAAATAAGTATAAGTAAGAGTATAATAAAACAACACATCAAATTTCGTTAAAATCGGTTCGATACTTTTCGCAAAATACTTTTTTGAAAAATTATTTTCA